GGGTGAATACATCTCATTACACTGATTTACTGGTAGTCTCGAAACCCTACTCTAATACGAATAGTAGTAGGATTTTCCCACGATGACATGAATTTCACATAGCCTTGCTTTCCCAAAAGTGTTCTCATCCAAGGTGGACTGTAGTTTCAACCTCGCATCGGGTGGTTAACGTGTCAAGCTCCCATTCTGCACTGTCACGTTTCGACTTCCGTTGGGGGTGTTGATAAGAACGATGCGAGGTCGAAACTGCAGTCCACTCTGGATGAGAACACTTTTAGGAAAGCTTAGCTCTGTGAGCTACTCATAACGTCGTGTGGAAATTCTACTACCAGTCCTATTATAACCTTTAACGAACTATGCTGAACTCATTCCGCCTGATGGCCTGCATCATCCACAAATGGTGCATACGGCAGGATAGCCTGTGACAGACTTACACATTTCACATATCCATTCATCCACGTGTGAGTATACTTATGAATTAGGCATGGGCGGTAAGTGGTTTAGGACAGGCATGTCAGAGACACGTGGACAGCACAGACGGCCACTTGCGATACTGTCGCTTAGGCCTTGGGCGTGCCTACCAGACACGAGCTTTGGCTGTTGTTAAGCCGGGGAAATAAACGAGCCGGACAATTGATGAACTGGCACGTCAAGGCCACTACTTACTGTGGCTATCGAGTGCCGCGTCAATGAGATTTGATGCCACTAAACGGGGTGGGCAAACTCGGAGGATGGATTTAGCCTCATTTCCTGCCACAGATCGTTTCATAGATTCCCATATCGACAAGGTTTAACATCACAAATATTAATTCAATTTAGCCAACCTCGAGTGGTTAAGTACGTAGGGGCAAAATCCTCCTTCGGCCGGTGCATGCAGAGGAAAGAATGATGATGGCCAGTCCCGCCCAAAGACCTGCGTCTTCAGAGCAGGACAAGCCCGTACATGCATTATGGAACCGGTGGCATGACGTCTTCTGTCCCCAGCTTCACTGAAATCGAACATTAATCATCAGTCTCCCAATCTAGCGGTTACCGCTCCTCTTTGTTCTTGCCATCCGCTTCATCATCCTCTCATACCAGATATTTTTATGCTACCTCAGCCCAGGGGAAATCGCCGACCTCGGCCTGACCTGCCGGTCAGAGGTCGCAAAGGCAACGTTGGACATGACAGACTTGCCGCCGGTATGGCCCACTTCCGCGGACAGCTCCACCCCCACTGGCGCAAGCATCAATTGAGCCACAACCGTCCGCAACTGTATGATGGTCTCAAAGGAGTATGTCAAGGGTCAAGACACCCGGGCATTATGAGCAGTCGGGGACAGTCTTGGGCAAGCCATTCCAACTGAACGCTCAAGAAGAAACGAATTGACATTAGGCGAAAAAGCTTGGAAACGGAATTCCACAGTATCTGTTCCAAGCTTGACTCAAAACAACTCAATTAAATGGAATTGTGAGACTATAAATAAGATCTTGAATGAGAACATCGATCATGAAGGTCGCTTAAAGTGCTGGAGGACAATTAAATAAAATCATCAACAGCAACAACAACTACTACTACTATTACTGCCGATAATACTAATATTAATGCGAATACTAGTACTACTACAAAAAATAATAATACAAATACAAATACTACTACTACCAATAATAATGTTATCAGAAGTAGTAGTCGTAGTAGTCGTAGTAGTCGTAGTAGTCGTAGTAGTCGTAGTAGTCGTAGTAGTCGTAGTAGTCGTAGTAGTAGTCGTAATTTTCGTAGTAGTCTGGAGATAAGAACGGTTTTAGGTAGCGCTCCGATTATAATTAAGTGGAAAAATCACACTCCTCTTACATTCACTTTGCGCCAAGGTCACTTAAAGTGATGAAGTATCGAAAGCGAATTTTCCTCAAAATGAAATGAGTAATATTAATGACGATGAAAATAAAAATAATACCAGTGCTACTAGTAGTAGTCGTTTTAGTAGTAGCAGTAGTTTGTGGATAAGAACGGTTTTTATGAAGCAGTCCACCTATAACGCAATTCAAAAATTAGGCGTCATCATTTGAGGCCAGATTTTGTGGTTATCAGTAGATCTCGAGTAAGAGCTTTAGTCAGCCAATGTCACTTAAGGTGATGAAGATCTGATAGTGAATTTTTCCAAAAGTTATTCTTATCCAGGCAGGAATGAACAGTATTTATGACCTCTCCTAGCAAGCCAGGGTTTCCATTGTACAGCGTGTGATTTCGATATGCTTCAACTATGCCACATCGTAATGCTTGCCAGTCGGTAAGTGACAGAACCGAATTTTAGAGTATACTAGGTAGGTCCCATTTCAAATTTTTATATTGGAATTGTCGTTGAAACAGACATGTATTTGCTATTAGAGTTGATGACATTATTTATATTTGAATTGACTAGGATTTTCAGGTAATCGGTAAATTTTGAATAAAAGCTTTCATAACATAAGCCTATGAAAAATGAAATAGCATTTGGAAGCAAAGCTAAGTGAAATTACATTTTCGCTTTTAAGTAGGTTATCGAGACTACTAGCAAATCAGATATATGAGATATATTCATCGTATTTCGTTTAAGAGGGGGAATGACTGATAGTTGAGAACCTGCGTACAAACAAAATAATAAGTAACGTCCTCGATTGCTACAGCAAATATAACTTTGCTTCATCGATGATCCCACCACATAATGTAATATGGGAAAATACCTGGCTTTCCTTGAAATTTACACCTGCCCTGTGACACAAGAGCACATGTGGCAATGTGGC